TTCATGATTTGTGATAAAATATACATAAAATATGCCATTAGAATCATTTTTAATGTCCAGTTCAGCGGCATGAAGCACACTCACCCTGTCCTGCAGCCACCCCCACCCTCTGTCTCCAGAACTTTCCATCTCCCCAAACTGAGACTCTGTCCCTGTGAAGCACAGACTCCCCACCCCCTGCCCCAGCCCCCGCTCCCACCATCTCCTCTCTGTCTGTGTGGACGGGACTCCTCTGGGGACCTCCAGGAGTGGGGTTGCGGGATGTGTCCTTCTGGGTCTTGCTTATTTCATTGAGCCTAACATCCTCCAGGTTCATCCACATTGTAGCAGGTGCCAGAATGTCCTGGCTTCTGCAGAGTGTGTCATAAGCCTTGGACCTCTGTGTCCTTGCTTTCTCTCCCATCTGTCCTACTGCTTCGTTGGTTGCTTCCCCACCCACGTGCTCTGCCTTCTCTGTGACATCCCTCCCTCCTCCTTGGCTCCTGGCTTCCTTAGCTTCTTTGTCTCCTATGTTCCAATTTCTCTTTCTCTTCTCCCACCTGCTCTGTAAAATCAAGATTCACCAGAACCTCTGGCCGATGAACATGGGATCCTTAGGTGACTGCCCACGGCCAGAACTACCACTGACATGTAGATGACCTTCTGTTCCCATCTCTGGCCTCATGTGTCCTCGATGTCTCGCAAGCAGCAAGCCATCCCATACTGCCAACTCTCTCCCCTACCCCGTTTCTTACACCAGAAACTTGAGGGCCACCTTAAACTGCTTGCTCACCTCCATTCTCCACACCCCAGGAGAACTGATAAGTCCTGCTGAGTCCCCTCCTGCTCCTCTATTATAGCCTTGCCTTCTGTTTAGGCTTTAGCATGTTGTTGCTTTGGGTTTTCTTTTTTTGGGGGGGGGGGTTGGGCTCTTGAAATCCTTCTGAACACAAATTGTGTATCCCCCAATCCTCCATCGCCCTGAGGATGAGGAGTAAACATTTCAGTATGGTGTACACATCTGGTTTTCTAACCTTGCACCCTGATGACCCCAAGTGCACGCTGGGCAGAGTGTTCCCATTTCTTTGAATGTGCCCCCCTCTGTGATGATTAATTATATCCAGGATCTGTGACAGGTGGTACCATACCATACCGTAATTCTTTTATTTGCTGGTTTCTTCATTTCTCTTCCTCTGACTCCCACCCCGACTATGAACTCCCTACAGGCCAGCACCCAGCAACACAGGACAGAGCCATCTTCCTTATGTTTGTTGAATGGATGAATTGGGCAAATCTAATGTGTTAATAAAAAGGAAGGTTAACAGGGGTGCCTGGGTGGCTCAGTTGTTAAGCGTCTGCCTTTGGCTCAGGTCATGATCCCAGAGTCCTGGGATCGAGCCCTGCATCAGGCTCCCTGCTCAGTGGGAAGCTTGCTTCTCCCTCTCACACTCCCCCTGCTTGTGTTCCCTCTCTTGCTGTGTCTCTATCAAATAAATGGATAAAATCTTTAAAAAAAAAGAAAAAAAGGAAGGTAACAGTATATAAAATGGTCACTTACCCTAGATACAGGGCTATGTTTTTCTTGCAAGGATGTTTAATCAAGTGTGGTCTCGTAGATGAAAAATACAGTTGGTCCTAGAGAGATAATCAAATCTTAATAATAATGAACAGCTGAGAAAAACAATTTCCTGATGTATAACATTGAAACTGTAAAGGTGAAGTTGTGGTAGGTGCATAATAGGAATGTAATGTAATTTTCCTGTTTTCCTAGTACACTCTGGTGACATCAGATGTCGTGGGGGGCAGGGGAGGGAAGAAGCTGGGTGAAGGGTACCTGAGACATCACTGTGCTATACTTGCAAATTGCTGCGTATTTACAATTATGTCAAAATAAAAAATTTTCACAGGATAATTACTGATATCACATTGCATTCCTTGTACATGTTATTGCTTATTTACAGATCATGAGTTATTTGAAAGAGACACCAGAGGATGAGGAATTGTAATTGTAACATGTTAGGGACCAGGCGCTTGGAGAGGATTTAGAAATGCAGACACCACTTCTGAAATAATGCCATGTCAACAGGAAACACATTTTTTAACAGGTGAAATATTTTTTCCTGCATTGTAGGCACACATGGGGTGAAAAAAAGTCCCTTCTTGCAGGATGTCATGTAAGCAAAGTAAGGGTCTGCTTCTTGTTACAATGTGGCAAATGAACACTGAAAAGGGGGATCTGAGTTCTAAACCCACTTCCATCTCCTGGCTTTCTTCATGTCGTTTGATCGCTTTCAACTAGTATTTTTAGTGAAATGGGAAAGGTTAAGCCCTACTTCAAAGTACAGTGGTAGGGATTAGATAATGTTCTATGCCTGACACATCATTGGCGCCCGAGAAATACTAGCAAGTGTTAGTTCTGAAAGTGAAGAATGAGAGAGAGAGAAGTATGGAGACACATACCCCTTGAATTTGCTGAATGGTATGAAACACCTTTCCTGTCCTCACTGTGTGATTACTAGAGGTAAGTGACAAGAGAGACCATCTGTCATTTTTACTGAATATTCAGCATGACTCCTACCAGGGTATCTCTGGGGTAACCCTCAAATACCTGTTCCTGATGCTTTAGGGTTACGGGTTTTCTTTCTCTCTCTCTCTTTGGCTGTGGCTAGGGGCGGGGAGATGGAGGGTATTGGTGGCTGGAGAATGTTGGTACAGTTTATAGCTTATAGCAGAGGTTTTCCAGCTTGACATACGCCAGAAGCACCTGGAGACTTGATAAAGTTTAGATTGCTGGGCCCCACCTCCAAGTCTCTGATTCAGTAGATTCAGGGATTGCAAGCCTAACAAATTCCAAGGTGATGCTTCTGTGGTCCAGGACCACACTTGGAGAACCAGTGTGAGGAAATGGGAGAATTGGGTATCACCAATCTTTTTAAACTTTGGGACAAATCCCATCGGTAAATCTTACTGGAAAACTCTACTTTTTGCTTACTAGCTATGTGTCTTTAGATCAGTGAGTCTTTAATTTTGCTGGGTCTGTTTTCACGTCTATAAAATAAGTTTAAGGACTCACTGCTCCATGACAACTGTTGTAAAGATCAAGTTAGGCCACGCGCCAGGAGCGCACATTTACTATTTCATGGGCAAACAGGGCCCTGCTTAATATGACAGCTTACTCCAGGCAGGAGTTCCCTGAGGACAGGAACTGGGCGTTAGCATTTATCTGTCTAACCCCCGTGGCACCCTCCATACAGTATTCACTAATATAATATTTACTGAAATCTAAAAATGTTCTGGGTAACGAGTGAGATAAATACTCCACACCTTCATGGAGCTAATATTGTAGTGACAACAACAGACAAAAAATTTATCAAAACAATAACAGAAATTAGTGATTGATAGGAAAAAGCCATTGCGGGGGCGGGGGGGGGGTGCTTTAAATAAGGAGGTGTGCTTTTTAAGTCGGGATCAGAATGCCTTAAACCAGGATCAGGAACCAGCCACGGAGAAATCTGGAAGCAAAGTGTGCCAGGCAGAGGGAGTGGCAAGCGCCGTCTCCCCTGTCCGCAAGGCTGGCTGGCTATGGCCAGAGTTCGGCTTGTTCAAGGATGGTGCGACTGGAGCATTGATTCAGGGGTAGGCAGGGGCCAGATCGGTGGTTCTCAAATTTCCAGGGGATACTTGGCAGTGCCTAGAGACAGTCTTGATGGATTGTCAAGCCTGGGTAAGGAAGTTCTACTGGCATCGAGCGGGTGGAGGGCAGCATGCGCAACATCTTAGGCAGCACAGGACAGCCCCACCCCAAAGAGTGTCCTAAATGTCAGCAGCGCAGCTGTTGAGAATGCCTGGGCCAGATCATGCGGGGAAATGTAGACCGGGCCAGGAACTTGGGTTTTATCTTGGGCGCCACAGAGAATCAGGGCAATGGGATGACAAGATCAGAGCGGTTTACAAACGATCCCTCTGGGGGCGGGAGTGGGCGACGGAGAGAAGCGCATGGCTAGGGCGGCGGCCGCAGCGGACGTGGCTCCTAGGGTGGGAATCGGGCCCAAGCTCTGAAGTGGCAGTGGGGGGACTTTGTGATGGGCCGGAGGAGTTGGGGTGAAAGAACGGGAAACAGCAAGTTCAATTTCTAGAACAAGAAACTGGGAAGCCTTAACGAGATTGGGGAGCCTCCGCTCAGGGACGAGCCGGGCCCCCCCCGACCCTGGGCAGCCCCCCTCCCTGGGGAGGGCAGCCCCACCGGCACAGCGGCTGAGCTCTGGCCAGCAAGCAGAGCCGCAGGATCGCCGCCACCAGCGGCACCGACACCAGCATCTTGTACGCAGAACCACCGCCACCAACACACTTCAACCGCCGCTGGGTGGTGCCTCACAGTCTGGGCATGCGCAGACTGGAGCCTGAACCTGAGCGCGCAGCCGCCAGCGGGACGCCTGGCGTCTGAGCATGCGCACCTCGGCTCCCGGGGAACGCGAAGCCGCACACAACACGCCCCCCCCTCCTCGAGCGTCTGAGTGTGCGCACACTGACGCTCAGGCTCTCTCCAGTCTGAGCATGCGTTCATCGTCTCCAGAACCCGCCACCAGGGAGGGCTCCAGCTGGCGCACAGCCACCCGTGGGCTGGCTAGTTTGAGCATGCGCACAGCGTCTCCCGGGAAACCCGAATCCACCAACCAGATCGCGCTCCAGAGCTGGAGGGCATGTCGCCCGCGCGCCTAAGCCCAAGTGTATGCACAGGGCTGCCTACGCGTTCTCACACCTGCTCTTGCAGCACCAGCGGCTCGCTTTTCAGGAGCCCTGCAGCGTGCCCACAGCCCTCCACGTGAGCCGAAGGGGCTTCCAGCGCGCCAGCAGGGAGACCGGAAGAGGCCGAGGCGGTGAAAAGGTTGAGCCCCGCCCCCACAGCCCTGCAGGCCCCACCCCCGCCGCTTTCCGTTCCGGGTCACGCCCCCTCCCCCCCCCCCCGGGGGGCCCTGGGCACGCGCGGCACTGCACGTGCGCACTAGCGGGCGAGAGGAAATGACGCAAGTTCTGTGCGTCCCCAGGATGGCCGGGCTATGGCGGCGGGCACAGGCTACGTGCGGCTGTGGGGCGCTGCGCGATGTTGGGCGCTGCGGCGGCCACTGTTGGCCCCCGCCGGGGGGCGGGGTCCGACTGCCGCCGGAGTGTGGTTACCCAGAGGCCGGCGGGCCTGCGACGCCTCGCCTCCCTGGGCGCTGTGGGGCCGAGGCCCCGTGGCCGCGGGCCAGTGGCGGGGACTTTGGGAGGCGAACAGCCGCGGCGGCGGTGGCGCATTCTCCGGCGGCGAGGATGCCTCCGAGGGCGGCGCGGAGGATGGAGCCGCGGGCTCGGGGGCCAGCGCGGGGGGCGGGGAAGGCCCGATCATAACGGCGCTGACTCCTATGACGATTCCAGAGGTATTCCCGCACTTGCCGCTCATCGCCGTCACCCGCAACCCGGTGTTTCCGCGCTTCATCAAGATTATCGAGGTAATGAGCAGCCCCGCGGTGGCTCCAGTTTCCCCAGCTCTTCAAGCAGCGGGTTGGACCGAGGGATCCTTGAGCACCCTCATGCCACAACTTATTCCAGGCATGAAGCTTCTTAAAAGTTGGAGTTCGAGTCCTTGCCTTCTCGCTAGTTTGGTGAACTTGAGCCAGATTCCTCCCCCTTCCAGATCCCTGATGAACCCAGTGAACTTAAGACTGCCCAATTAGAGCCTTAGTCATAGAACTCTCCGATGCTGGAAAGGACCGAAAAGTCTTGTGGCCCAGTTACTTTTCTGCGGGTTTTGGTAAATGTTTCGTGACACTCTTACTCGGGGCGGTTTGCAGTCTGGTTTCGAGCCCCTTTGGGATCAGGATTCATTCTTTCCTTAAACATTTCTTGACCGCTTACCACGTTCCAGGTACGGTTTTTAGGGATACAGCAGTGAACAAGACTGATAAAAATTCCTGCCTTTGGAGCTTACGTTCTAGCGGGATACAAGAGGCAATAAACAAGATTAGTAGGCAAATTACATGTTGGAAGGCAATGACTGCTATAGGGATAATAAAGCCAGGAATAGAGTATAGGAGACTTAGGAGGAAGGTGGGGGAAGGATGTTTTCAGAGGGGTGCAGCCATGGTTTTTTCATTCAGAAGAGTGTTCTTGACCTGCTATGTAACAGGCACTGGGGATACAGCAGCAAACAAGTCAGATGCAATCCCTGTGCCTAAGGAACTTGTATTTTGATGGAAGAGACGTTAAGCAAGATCGTTTCAGACTAAGAGCTAAGGGAATGGGGATGATGGACTGGGGTGATGTAATAGAAAGCAATATGAGTGCAAGGAACTTGAGTTTTTAGAGTAGGAAGGACCCAGATGGCTTCCTTTTTCCCTGTCCCCTCCCTCCACCCCCCTTTTTTTAAAGCTTTTATTTATTTATTTGAGAGAGAGAGAATGAGAGAGAGCACATGAGAGGGGGGAGGGTCAGAGGGAGCAGCAGACTCCCTGCCGAGCAGGGAGCCCGATGCGGAACTCGATCCAGGGACTCCAGGATCATGACCTGAGCCGAAGGCAGTCGCTTAACCAACTGAGCCACCCAGTCGCCCCCTCCCCCCCCCCATTTTTTAAAAACAATGTGGAAATTAGAGTCCTTGGTGAAAGGTTATTTGTTAACTGAGCAAGGTCATATGATGAATCAGCCTCTGCATTCACTCTCCAGCCTCTCCCTCATACTCTAGTCTCTGCTAAATAAATCTCAGGACCGGAGGAGCCCCTTCCACCTCCTCTCCCACCTGCTGATTGTGTGTGTTCGAGCTACTCTCCCAAGGGTCTTCCTTGGTTTTTTGTTTTGTTTTTTTTTAAAGATTTTATTTTATTTATTTGAGAGAGAGAGAATGAGAAGCAGAGAGCATGAGAGGGAGGAGGGTCAGAGGGAGAAGCAGACTCCCTGCCGAGCAGGGACCCCGATGCAGGACTCGATCCCGGGACTCCAGGATCATGACCTGAGCCGAAGGCAGTCACTTAACCAACTGAGCCACCCAGGCACCCTTCCTTGGTTTTGAGTAGTGGTTACTTGCAGGCCCCAGAGCCTATGGGTTCATATCCTAGCTCCACCACCCATAGCTCCTTCACCTTCAGAAAGCTGTTCCTCTGGGCCTTCTTTTTCTCATCTGTGAAATGGGCCTCATAATCATACCTCAGTTCCTAGAGCTGGTCTGGGAGGTCAGTCCATCTGTGTCAGGGGTATAGCCTCATACCTTAATCAGAAGCTGCTGCTATTTCCTGTGTGGTAGGCTCCTTACATTTCAGAAGTGTGCCCTGGAGGCCTTTTTCCTGGCCTTGACCCCAGCCGACCTCTGGGGCCAGGAGTGGTCAGCTACGGTCCCCTCAGCCCTGCAAAGTGGCAGATGCCTCTTGTGCCCTGTGCCCAGAGAGGAGGACTCCAGGAGATTCTGTCTCCCCACCCAGAGTTAGCCAGGACGGTTAAATGAAACACTGCGGAAAGCAGGAGACTGGCACATGGTATGCACTGTGTTTCTATTGTTTTTACCTTGTCAGTGACGATGAGGAATCCTGCCAAAGAGAGGAGGCAAGTGCTAAGATGCAGCATTCAGCTGTTACCAGAGAGGAATTAGGGAAACTTCCATGGCACTGGGAAAAGGTTTCTGGACCTATTAACAAAGCTGTGTTTACTCTTGATTGTGTGGTTGACACGGCCTGGGGCTAAGTTGCTCCTGTAGTTTCTCCCCTTATTAGTGGCCTCTCAGTATAGATCAGTGGTTCTTAATATGTGGTGGGTCATGTACCCATCCTTATTGCTGTCATGGACCTTTTCCCTGGGAAAAACGCATCTGTAGGGTCAGGAATTCCGGGACTGTAAGTTAAGAGCGCCTGCTAAGGGATGAGTTAGAACACTGGTTCTCAAACTGTGGTGATGAGGCCAGCAGTATCAGCATCACTTGGGAGCTCGTTTGAAATGCAGATTCCCAGGCCAACTCCAGGCCTCCTCTGTCAAAAAACTCCAGGGCTGGGGCCCAGCCATCTGTCTTAGCAAGTCTTCCAGGTAATTCCAATGCATGCTGAAGTTTGAGGGCCCTTCAGTGTAATCAGGGTCTGGGGTGGGAATTAATGGGCTGGAAGGAAATCACTTGAGCCTTACGGACATCTGTGCTCCTGCCCCATCAGAAGTCCCTAGAAGATGTTAGCCCTCTCCCTGTCATTGAAGTGACATCAAGATGATGCATTGTCATCCTGAAGCTTTCAGGCCTTGATCAAAAGGGTGTAGATGTGATTGGGAAATACGATGCAAATTGAAGGCAGTTGTGGCCTGGGGGATGGGCCACGGCTGAATTGTGCACATTTAGTGTTGTCCTTCTGACATTGATAAAATCAGAATAGTCTGGATTTTCAAGCCAAGACATTTCATCTCTGAAAAGCTCTTGAAATTGGAAGTGAAATCAATTTCTTGGTTCTGGCCATTGGTCTACTTTGAGTGTTCTTTAGAAAGCAGGGGAACCACCAAGGAATGCAGCCCTGTCAACCTGTCCCACTACATTCTCTACGTGTGTGTGTATGTGTATGTGTGTTTGGTTTGGGACTTCCTGGACTGTGTTGGTTAGTGTCCTGGGTCAGGTTAGTATAGCCTCGAGAATAATCTAGAAAATGCTAGAGCTGCTGTCAAAACGTCAGCTAGAAAACCTGCCCTGTGTTTCACTTTGGGGTCATTGTCATGCTAGGTTAAAAATAAGAAGTTGGTTGAGCTGCTGAGAAGGAAAGTCCGTCTTGCCCAGCCATACGCCGGTGTCTTTCTGAAGAGGGATGACAAGTAAGTGTAACTTTTCCTTCACTTCGTCATTGAAGTTGCCCTGGAGTGCAGCTCATCACAAGTCCTGCTCTGTAGAGTAGTCTGGACCTCTGACCTTTGACCTGGAAGAAATCAAGCAAAACCTACCAAGCACAAGGCCAAGATCCAAGCATACTTTTTTAGTCTGGGCTGAAGACTTGGCTCGGCTCTGGGTTTCATGTGTTGTCAAGTTGTTGACGGGGGGCGGATATTAATCTCCAGGACCTTTGGTGGTCAACCTGCCTGTGAGGTCGCTTGAGAGCAGAGCTAGGTGGGCGGATAGTACAGCTCCAGGTACATCCACCTTGACTCCAGGTGGGAATTAGTTGCGCTTCTGAGTTAGAAGGTACGTTCTGTAGGGGGAGGTGTGGAATGAGATCCGTTCCGTCCGGGCCTGTCCTTATAGCTGACTTCGCCTGGCAGCTACTCACCTGTGCAGCAGCGGCAGCCGAGGGCCGCCCTCAGCTGGCAGGCGCTCTGGGGGGCCCTGCAGCCCCTGCAGGAGCGAGGAGGTTGCCCTCGGTTTCCAGTGGAGGCTGGCAGGAGTGTTTCTCTTCTCTTCCTCCTCCCTCTTCGCCCGAGATATCCCACTGGGAATCAGGGCCTGTGACCGTGCACCTTTGTGTCCCTGTCCCTCAGCAATGAGTCTGACGTGGTTGAGAGTCTGGATGAGGTCTACCACACGGGGACGTTTGTCCAGATCCACGAGATGCAAGACCTTGGGGACAAGCTGCGCATGATCGTCATGGGACACAGAAGGTGAGGGGCCCCGAGTGTGTAGGATGGGGCGGGGCAGAGGCACTGAGGGTCCCCAGGTTCTGGTACCGGCCGTCCTTGCTCAGCCCTACTGCCTTGTAGGAGCTAGACCAAACCTGGAGATGGCGGACACAGGTCACCTCTGGGTCGCTCTTAAAGTGGTAGTATGGGTGGTCAGTGACAGCTTGTATCTTTCATGCACATCATTCACAGGCGTGTCACAGATACTGAACAGTAAGTTGCCTCACGCCCCAGCTTCGGTAGGCTTACGTGCCTAGGTGTCAGCTGTTCATGGTTGGGCATGCCTGCTTTTTGCCCAAGTGGCCTTGTCTGCGTCTGTGCGCAGATCATGCTGGATGTCCAGCTTAGCGCCGCGGTTTTTCACTCGACCAGACACGTTTCCTTGTCAGTCTGTGTAGTTTCCACGGCCACTCTGCCGGAGGGCTGCATACAGCGTGTGAGCCCAGTTTAAATCCTTGTCCTGTCACAGTTAATTATGAAAAATTTGCAGGATCCCGCTGGGTTGCAGCTCTCCAGCTTTTCACTTGTGTTCCAGGAAACACTGGTTCTCAAGATGCTTGTCAAGAGTGCCACAGTCAAATCCACATGGGAAACATTTCTGAGTCCTGAGCCATTAACGGAGTAAATGTTATGAAAAGCCCCTCAACAGAGACGCCCATTGGCACTTGTTGAGGATCGAGTTCTGGTCCTTCTCCCTCCCAGAGCTTTATTCTGGTGTTAGCAAGGCAGCACCCCCAGGACACACTCGGGGACACGGGCTGTGTTAGGCACTGGCTCTGTGAAAGGTCCCGGTGGCTGTCCCGCTGCACGGAGCTTCCACGCCCGTCTTCATCTGCTTCCATTAGGGGAAAGAGGCTGCCGCTCTATCCCCTGGGGGGATTTGTGAGCCGGAGGGAGTGGAAGATGCAACAAAATGAATGGAATGGTGGTGGCTACTAAGTGCTGTCCTGACCTATGAGGTGCCTTATGGAAGGAGTCCTGCTGGCTCCAAGGCCAGGCCTACTTTTTCTGTGCAGTCAACTGGGGTCAGCCAGGCACTGGGTCCCCGCCCCGCCAGCTCTCAGGCTGGCCCTCTGGGGAAGGTGGCAGTTAGTTACCCTGTGGGACAGGACAGAGCCAAGAGGTGAGATGGCATGTTTGCACTCATGTCACTTAACCCCTGATGTCTGCTGGGTATCTGGGGGTGGAGGTGGTAGATAACTGGGTGTGGAGAAACAGGCCAGGGGCCCAGCTCCCATCCCAAGAGGGGAGGATGTGAGCATCAAGGCAGGTCACCAGCTGAATTGTGGCAGTGGTGGGAGCTTTGGGGGGATGCGAAGATGGACAGGGTGAGGAGTAGGCATAGATGGGGGCTGGACCTCACATGGAGTGGACAGGGAGGGCCTCTTTGTGGAGGTGCCCTTGAACTGAGGCCTGAGCAACACGAAGGAGCTGCTGTCTGGTGAACTCCAGGCCGAGGGAGGGGCAGGTGGGGTCCTAGAGTTGGGCTGCGCTTGGTGGAGCAGACAGCTTGTGATGGGCCCCAGAGCTGGTTGCCGCTGGCTTACCCGGCAGACTTCAGATGTTCGCAGAGGACAGCGGGTGTTGGTGTGAAATGCGGAGTGGCTGGGTCAGCTGGAGGCCAGCGGTGTGCCAGGGGCGGGGGGTGCTTGTTTTGGGGTTCTGAGACAGCAGCTTGGTGTCCAGCTCCTGGGCCCAGCGGGCCTCTCCGTTGTCAGCGCTGGAAGCCCCTGCAGCTTCACGTCTCCCTTGTTTCCGTCTTCAGGATTCACATCCACAGACAGCTGGAGGTGGAGCCCGAGGAGGCTGAAGCCGAAAACAAGCAGAATCCCCGCAGGAAGACGAAGCGGGGCAAGAAGGCGGAGGAGGAGCTGAGCGGTGGGCACCACGTAGAGGTGATGACAGAACTTTCTTCGGGGCCCCCCAGCGAGGTGCTCATGGTGGAGGTGGAGAATGTTGTCCACGAGGACTTCCAGGTCACGGAAGAAGTGAAAGTAAGTCGCTGCGGCTGCCCACGGAGCTCCCTGGGCAGGGGACATGAGGCTCTAGCCCGTTAGGCTGTCAGGTTCTCGTGGAGTGCAAAATGTGCTCTTCCCCCCCCCCCCCCCCCCAAAGTCTAGGAAGAAAGTGGCATCCAGAAGGTAAAGGAAATGTGCCGAGGCCCTTAGCTGCCTGTGTGCAGGAGGCAGGGTTGTGACCTGGGTCCAGCCCGTGTCCGCTGTGCAGGAGCCTCCAGCCTTCTTTTCATACTGGCTCCTTTCCCTCAAGCCCAGGGCGCTAGGGAGTGGGAGCAGGGCCCACGCACTGTTCCCCGTGGCTTATAGACAGGCAGGCAGCAGCCTTCTGGCTGCCTTGAGCCCAGATGCAGGTTGCCTGCCGCCATCGTACCGTAGGGAGCCAGCTGTCTAGGTGGTGGGTGATGCCTTCCCGCCCGGTCTCCTGGTGCCGCAGCGGCGGGGGCTGCCTCCGGCAGGTGGGGGGTGAAGAAAGGCAGAGGTCATCAAAGGCTTGTTACCCTTGCGCGTCCCGGCATCATTGGCCTCCCTGGGGAGAACGCGCCGTGCCTAGCCAGCCAGCAGCCTCGGTCTGCTGTCGTGGCACAGTGTTGAACAGAGTTCTGGGCGCTTCTGAGCTTGGGGGGAAGGAATCCTGTGGTCCACTGGTGATGTCTGCCCCGAGCGCTGGGAGGGGTTTGGCTGCCTCTGCCCAGGGCAGCAGTCACACCCACAGGGCCATGCCACGATGGTGGAAACGTTCTCTGGTTCTGCACCACTAGCCCCCATGGTTATCAAGTGCTCGATCTGCGGCTAGTGCGACTGAGGAACGAAATGTCTGGTTTTGTCTTGATTCTAATTTATTTAAATGTGAGTAGCTATGCCTGGCTGCTGGACTGGGCAGCAGAGCTTTAGAGTTTCCTATGAGGATCGCTAGTGGGAGAAAAACACGGCGAAATTCATAGATGCCCCAGGGAAAAGAATCTGGGAGACTTGAGGAGGCTGCACACTCGTGCTCGTCTGTGCAAGCGCCATGGGCCTCTAGCTGCTCTCTACGAGTTCCTTCTGGAAGGTTAGCCCCGTCATTTCAGGGACGAACCCCTAACTAGAGGCTGGATGCTTTCTCCATTCCCACCTGTGCCCTCACTGGGGTGTGGTATGCTGGGAGCCACCTTCTGGAAATCACCGGGTTCCGATGGTTACCCCATAAACTGTCCATGGTCCCGCCAGGAGCATCACTGTCCTCGCTGTGGCGGTGATGCCTGTGGTATCCACAGCAGAGGGCGAGCCTGGGCCTGAGGTTCTGGGAGGGGATAGGCCAAGAGCTCTAGTGACTTGCCGGCACATCCCCAGAGAGGAGATTCAAACCAGAGTATGCTGAAGTTGAGGAGGGGAGCGTTGGTTGTGAGACTTGTGCTTGAAATAAAAAATAAGGAGTAAAAAAACCCCCGTCCTCCTTTTTTTCTGAAAATGGCTTGATCTAAGGTCAAGGTTGAGCGTGGTATAAGGAGGTAGGCGTTGGTGTTCATTTTTACTGTCTTGATCCTGAGTCCCCATGACTGGTGGATTCAGGCTATGCTCCTGGGCATCTGAGGCCCTACCTGGCTTGAGCCAGGTGGTAGGGGCTCCTTGGGCCATGGCCCTTGCTGGACCCAGGGACTGATGGCTGCCTCCCTGTTTGCCAGGCCCTGACCGCTGAGATTGTGAAGACCATCCGGGACATCATTGCCTTGAACCCGCTCTACAGGTTGGTCTCCGGCGCCATTCCCTAGTCCTGGTGTGTGGTCGACCCTCCCTGAGGCCAGCCTGGGGTCTGTCTGCCTCTTTCTGCAGCTGGGTTGGTGGGAGGCTTTTTCAGAGTGTTGTCCCGATAGAAAACCTTGCCAGGGGCAGAGATTCAGGGCCTAGAGCCCAGCCCTGTGTGAGTAGATCCTGCTTCCCTTGCGGCAGGGAGGCCCTGCAGGGGAGGGTGGAGGGAGATGCCTTAACCAGTGCAGGTTCTTTGCCTCCTTCATACTAACGGCCTTGGATTTGGCCGGAAGCCTTTTTGTCATCAGCTGAGGTGGAGGAAGGGAATCTCACTTGGAGGTCACTCCATGGCTGCTGGAGGGGGCTTGTGTCTGGGCATGGGGTCGTTAGTCTCGTGATTCTAGGACGGGTGGCCTCACTGCTCCACACCTGGCTTTCCGTGGGCATCCCAGGACCTTGACCCTCGCTGCCGGGAAAGGAGACTCAGGCCAGCGCTCCTGCCAGGGGCCCAGCCCTGGCTGCTGCAGCATCCCTGCACCCCGTGGCAGCATCCTCTGTCCCTTCCAGAGAGTCTGTGCTGCAGATGATGCAGGCCGGCCAGAGGGTGGTAGACAACCCCATCTACTTGAGCGACATGGGCGCTGCGCTGACCGGAGCTGAGTCCCACGAGCTGCAGGACGTCCTGGAGGAGACCAACGTGAGTGCGCCCTGGCCGGTGCTGATCTGCGTGGTGGGAGGCCTCCCAGCCTGGCTGCTTGTCCCCACCTCTGCTTTACAGTTCCATTTTGTGCTTGCACGGGTCTGTCAGGCCGCACCCTGCTCCCCTGTCTCTCTCGCGGCTGCTGGCATTCTCTCCGGGTGGTGCCTTCTGTTTAGCGGGTGGTATATTTGGCCCCACCCGGCTTGTGCTGTTAATGAGCCATGCCCCTACGAACGTTCTCGACCACAGCTTGCAGATGTGCCGGACTTTATCTGTAGGAGGTGTTTGCAGAACTGGGCTTACTGGGTCAGAGCAGGTTGTCTCGGGTTGGTGACACGTGGCCTGGTCACTCTGCCCTATTTGCGCTCCGTCTGGGAGGTGCCTGCTCCCCCCACATGCTCACCGTGCACAGAGAGGTGCCGACTTCTGACTGTCGCTTACGTCTTCCCTTTCCTGGCAGATTCCCAAGCGACTGTACAAGGCCCTCTCCCTCCTCAAGAAGGAGTTTGAGCTCAGCAAGCTGCAGCAGCGCCTGGGGCGCGAGGTGAGCCCGGGCTGAGGACATGCCTCCCCAGGGAGGGTGCCGTGCGGGCATCACTCGGGTGGGGCTGGGAAGCTCTGCAGTCCAGGATGCCCTCCATCATGGCAGAGCAGTGCGCTAGGTTCAGCATCCTGGGAAAATGCCGGACACTGGGGACCAGCCTGGGAGAGGTTGAAAATCTGTTTTCCCAAGGCTCCGCCATTTGTGGCCCCCCTTCCTGATTGTGGCCCAATCCATGGGCTGCCTGGATCATTGGTGCTTACCAGTCATGTTGTTTTTCAGAATTGACTCGCTGTTTCTACTTTATTTTGGAAGAAAACTTTCAGGTCACATCTTTACTTGGAAAATTTTTAACACTTGGTTATTAGCTTGAGGCAACTTCAAAAAATTTTTTTCTAAGATTTATTTGATAACATCGTTTTAAAAGATTTTATCTGTTTTTTGAGAGAGAAAGAGCATGAGCAGAGGGAAAAGACAAAGAGGGAGAAGCAGGCTGTCTGCAGAGCAGGGGGCCCAATGCAGGGCTCAGTCCCAGGGCCCTGAGATCATGACCTGAGCCGAAGGCAGATGCTTAACAAACCGAGCCACCCAGGCACCTGCCACTTTTTTAGTACTTATTTATGTCTACCCCTAGTGTGGGGCTCAGTCTCATAACCCTGAGATCAAGAGTCACATGCTCCACCTACTGAGCCCACCAGGCACCCCGGCACAAGGCAGTTCTTAATGCACCTCCGATGGGACACAGGAGTGGGGGCTGTAGGCGGCCCTGGTGCTCAGCGACCTCCGAGCCCTTGCCTGCAGCCCTGTCCATCCAGAGGAGGTCCGCGCCTTTGGGAGGTGCGCTAGCGGCAGGCGAGCTTCACCTGGTCGCAGTCAGGCCCAAAGAGCGAATCCCCTCCTCTCTTGGAACTTGGCATTGTTTATTTCTAGCTCAGGGAGACTGGGTTCAAGGAGGAGGGGTTGGAAGCGGCCGCTCGGCGTTTCCTTCTAACTGTGTCTGGAGGAAGCAGCGCCCCCTGCCCGTGGCAGTCCACGGACATGCCTGTGCGCCCTCCCGTGTGCTCTGACCGCGGCCCCTCGGCCCCTGCAGGTGGAGGAGAAGATCAAGCAGACGCACCGCAAGTACCTCCTGCAGGAGCAGCTGAAGATCATCAAGAAGGAGCTGGGCCTGGAGAAGGAGGACAAGGACGCCATTGAGGAGAAGTTCCGCGAGCGGCTCAAGGAGCTCGTGGTCCCCAAGCACGTCATGGACGTAGTGGATGAGGAGCTGAGCAAGCTGGGCCTGCTGGACAACCACTCCTCCGAGTTCAAGTGAGCGTCCTGGGGGCCGTGCCCGTCCACATGGCGTCCGCCCTCGAAGGCGGCCCCCCTCTCGTGCCTCAGCCTCGGAAAAGCCGGTGACCTGGCAGGGTCCAGGATGCCAGGCCCAGAGGTCGGGAGGGTGGGTCCCTTGGGCACCCTCTGGTCACGCTGGGCGCCTGAGAAGCACTTGGTGTGTGATGGTCCTCTTGGCGACCCCGTGTGGAACACACTTTTTTTTGTCACTCGTTTCCCAGCTGGAGAAATTACCTCTTAAGAGAAGTCAAGTCAGTGAGCAGGGCCTCTGAGCTGGTGGATGGGGACAGGGATTTGATCCCAGGGATGTCTGGCTTTAAGCAGTGCTTCCAGCCAGGACCCCTCCCCTTGCCCCCTTGCCCCCTTGCCTCTGTGCCCTCCTTTGCATGCCCTTGAGAGCCAGGAAGTCAGCGTCTCTTCCTGGGGCCTCAGCCTTGCCCCGTGGGTGCGCAGCTCCCAACCTGGGGTTGCTCTTGGGGCAGCGCTGACCTGCCACCAGCCAGCCCTGTGTCCCACGTGCCCCGGGTGAGGTAGTCTCCTGCCACCTCCACGGAAGGGGATTCCGAGCAGTCCCCGTGCTCGCCATGTCTGGGCCAGGAAAAGGCCGAGCCCCTGTGCTGGGAGCCGGGCAGCGCCCACAGTGCGGCCTTTGCCGGTTATCGGCGCCTCCAGCTGAGGCACCCTGGGCGCGGTTCATGCGTCGGGGTCAGCGGGCTCTGGCACCGTGGATTGGCCGCGGCCGCGCCGGGCAGTGAGCTGGGCCCCGCTTACCAGCTCTGGTCTGTCCTCTGGCAGTGTCACTCGTAACTATCTGGATTGGCTGACGTCCATCCCGTGGGGCAAGTACAGCGATGAGAATCTGGACTTGGCCCGGGCCCAGGCGGTGCTGGAGGAGGACCACTATGGGATGGAGGATGTCAAGAAGCGCATCCTGGTGAGGTCCCCCGCACCCCTCCCCTGGGTCCCAGGCCTTCCCACCCCCTACAGCCCACCCCGTCCCTGTGAGGCCCGCCTGCACCCCTCATGCAGGTCCTTGGGCATGGGCTTCTCGAAGCCTCCCCTGGGCGCCACAGTCCCACCTCCCAGGCACTTGTTCTGAGCACACAGGGCGGGCTCTGAGCAGCAGGGTCTGTGGTGATCTGGATTCGGGACCCAGGCTTCCCCCCATGCTTGGGAGGGGCGGGGGGAGTCTCAGAGGAGCCCCTTGCGGAATTTCTGGTCTAGGCTCTGGGAGGGTCTTGGCCAAGACAGGGCTGGCGGGGGGGTCAGCAGAGGCTGAGGAAGGAGAGGAGAGGTGGAGGGCTCCAGGGGGAGGAGCAGCTCAGAGGCGGCAAGGGCAGCCTGGGCCAGGCCGTCTGCTCCAGGGGCCTCGGGTTTCCGAGGAGGGACAAGAATCGTGCCTGACGACATGAGACGGGCCTGGCTCAGCGCCAGTAAGCTGTGGCTGGAGCGGCAAGAGGGTCGATACGGTCCAGGATGTGGGAGGAAGGGGTTGCTAGCAGCTCGGCCTGCTGCCCTGGCCACCCGCAGGCGGTCACTGCAGTCCGCCCGGCCCCTCCGGGTCATGCCTGGTCCCTTGCACAGCCCCCTCGGCCTGAAAGGCAGCGTGACAGTGGCGAGGATCACATCAGGTAGGGCCCCTGGTCCTGCAGAGTGGGCGGCGCGTGGCTCATGGGAGCCTGCCTCCACCTGCAGGAGTTCATCGCTGTCAGCCAGCTCCGAGGCTCCACCCAGGGCAAGATCCTCTGCTTCTACGGCCCCCCTGGCGTGGGCAAGACCAGCATCGCCCGCTCCATCGCCCGCGCCCTGAACCGCGAGTACTTCCGCTTCAGCGTCGGGGGCATGACGGACGTGGCTGAGATCAAAGGGCACAGGTAGGCCCGGCCGGGCTCCGTTCCTGTGTGTGCAGGGGGGTGTCAGGGCGAGCGGTGATCTCTGCTCACGCTGAGGTAAGTGACCCACGAGCCCAGCGGAGTCCAGCCGCTCAGTAGTTGGCTCAGAACACTGGCCTCTCGACTGCCAAGCAGGCAGACTCCCGGGAGTGTTTGTTTGCCAGGCTGTTGGTAGTCGGTCTCGCTTATTCCAGCTTCCATCCTACCCAGTTCAGCTCCCCCAGCGCTGCGGCCAGAGTTCAGGGCCATGCACCCAGCCCCAGGACTAGGGACTGTGGACCAGAGCCAGGGGCGAGGTGGGCCCCACTGAGAATGGGGCAGCACGTCAGTGAGGCCCCGGCACCTCTCCTGGGTCTTCTCTCCCTCCCCAGCCGGAGCAGGGGCTGCTACCCTGAGTCCAGGGTCTGAGAACCGCCAGCTGTGTGCGTGTGCCCGTCCGTTGGGGCAGTTATGGTGTGTTCTCCTGGAGCTCACACCGTCATTCCGTCTCTGCCTCCCTCTCTCCCCCCAACTTACTCTGCTCCAGCCACATGGGCTTTCAGCACACTACGCCTGGTCCTGCCCTTGCCCCAGGACCTTTGCACAGGCTGTTCCCCCAGAAAACCCTCTTCCTTCAAATACCCACATAGCTTGTCTCTTCGCTTTTTTTGCTCAGGACCTCTTCTCAAAACGCTCCCTATCCCCACTTTATTGCCCCTGAAATGTCATTTCAGATCTTCCATCCTGTCTTACCTTTGTAGAGCGTATACGGTTTACTGTACCTCGTGATTCCCTGCTCCATCTGGCTATCTGTCTGCCCTGCTGGGTCTTCCCTCGCAGGCACGGGACTCGGGTCTGCCTTACTCTCTCTGAGTGCCAGACTGCCGCAGCTGAGCTGGGACAGTAGAGCAAGGAGGAGGTCAAAAAGCACTCCGGCAAGCGCTAGCCAGGTCTGGGCCATGGGCCCTGTGACCCCGAGGCCTGGGAGGCCGTGCTGTGCCTGGGGAGACCTGGGTGGGGGGAGCATTTCTGCCGCCGGCAGCACCTGGCTGCTCCTGACCTCTATTCTGTTAGATTGGGCCGTGTGGGCTGGATTCCACCATCCGGATAGGAGGTGCTGGCCGGGGGGACGGGTCTGAGCGAGACCTGGTTTTGCATCTGTTTTCCCAGCCTGAGTCAGGCCTGGAGGGCGACATTCCCGTCGCTGGAGAGCACAGGCTGGAGGGGTGCCGTCAGCCGGTGCCAGCCTCCACGCCGCCTCCACGGTGGCCACCTGCTGTGCATCTCCCCGTTGCCGCCTCCAGGCAGCCCTCCACAGAGGCCGAGTGGTACACTGAGGTCCTGGGGCTCTCTGCGAGCTGGGCCTGTGGGTGCCGCCGGGTAAGGAGCCCACCTCTCCTGCGCTCTGCCCCCCAGGAGGACGTACGTGGGTGCTATGCCAGGAAAGATCATCCAATGCCTGAAGAAAACCAAGACGGAGAACCCTCTGATCCTGATAGATGAGGTGTGCACGGACGAAGGGCTGGGCGCACGGCCGGACTGGGAGCTGACGAGGCAGCCCAGCCTCCGTTCCTAGCACCCTTCCCCGCGGTCAGACACAGTCCCTTAGGTCCTCCTGAGCCAGAGCTCCAGGCAGTCCTGACCAGGCAGAGTCTGCATCCAAGACTGGACCCGCGGCCCCTGCCATTTCAGTTGTCCCCTAGTCACCGTGTGGTCCCACCGCCACCAGGCCACTTCATGACAGGCTTCTGTCCTGCCTCGGAGGACCCCATGGCAGCCCTCCTGCTCCGGGCTTGCCCAGTGCCCGCCCCTGGTGCTAGTGAAATCTGGTCCCGCCCGGCACCCTCCCACCAGGAGCATCTGGTAAGCAGGCACGGGGGGGCGGGACGGGTTCCCAAACTGCCTACCTCTGCTGCCCCTTCAGGTGGACAAGATAGGCCGGGGCTACCAGGGGGACCCCTCGTCAGCACTGCTTGAGCTGCTGGACCCCGAGCAGAATGCCAACTTTCTGGATCACTACCTGGACGTGCCCGTGGACCTGTCCAAGGTGTGTGTCCCGCCGGGGAGCTGGGCCCAGTGGGGAGAGGCAGGGTGGCCAGTCCTCCGGTACCTCCCTGCTGCCCTCCCCAGGTGCTGTTCATCTGCACGGCCAATGTCACTGAGACCATCCCAGAGCCGCTGAGGGACCGGATGGAGATGATCAACGTGTCTGGCTACGTGGCCCAGGAGAAGCTCGCCATCGCAGAGGTGAGCGCAGGACCCTCGCCCCAGCTCTAGACAGCGGGGGTGCCCCCCTGCAGCTGGGGCTGGGGGCATAACTGAGCACCGAGTGCCAGGCCCCTAACCAGAGCTGCAGGGGACAGTCCACAGCGGCCCTGCTCGGAGCGGGGGCGGCTGGGGTCTGCCCACTCGTGTAGCGTGAGTGTCGCCAAGAGCAGAGGCGAGCCCGCTGTGAGCCGTGTAACCCCGGCGCGGGCACTTCCCCAGCCCGCCCGCTTCTCCGGCTTAGTTCCGCTCCTGCCTGGGGTTCATGTTATACCCCCGCGGGCTGAGGGCCCAGGCCCCCGGGATGCTCCTGCTTCGGATGCCAGTTGTGCATTCCAGGGCTCGCTTCCTTCTGCCAGCTGGCTGTAAATCGGGTGTTCCCACACTTCTTCTTGGGGCTTGCTGGGTTGCTGTAACAGCTCACTGAGCTCAGACGGTTTCCTTCCTTACCAGTTCATTATAGAGGATCCAACCGGGGAACAGCTGGAACAGCCGCGTCAAGCCCGGCAGGGGCAGGGGCAGGGGCTTCTGGGCGGTCCTTGGGCACCCCCCTCCCAGCGCCTCCCGGCGGGTCCGCATTCTCCTAGCTCCTCGGCCCAGGGTGTTTATCGAGGCTTCATTCTGTGTGCATCGTTGAGTAAATCATTAGCCACCGTGACTGTCCCTCCAGCCCTCTCCTCTCCCTGGGGGTCGGGGCGAGGCCCTCAGACCCCCGCCCCAGGAGCCACCTCGCTGGCCCAGGCTCAGGTGTGGTGCCAAGGGGCTGTATCGTAGGTCCCAGCAGCTGGCCCACTCACCCTGCCACTTGAAAACTCCAGGGTCTCGGGAGCTCGGGGGCCAGAGACCCACCCAGTACAGATTTCTTCTACCCCACTCTCCCGGGCCCCGGCACAGGAACAAGGGGGAAAGAGCACAGTCTCTCCTGGGTGTTCCAGGCACGGGTAGCTGGTGCTCCGCTGGGGACTGTGCGTTCGGCCCTGATAGTCCTCTCCGCCGTCAGTGCGCTGCTCCCTGTCCCCAGCACACCTGTCCCAGGGCCGGCACCCCTGCCGCCCGTCTTCCCACCAGCCGTGCGTCCTTGAGCTCTGTGACGGAACGAGTGTCCTAGGCCGAGGCTCACCCGGGATTCAGGTCTCTGTGCATTTCCTGGACGTTATTGGTCTCCCCAGGCCGGGGGCTGGATTCCTATCCTGAAGAACGTTAAGCGGAGCAGAGAGCCAGATTTCCTTCCAGAGAAAAGGGAAACTGTTTCTGACCCAGTGTTTCTAACTGGAAAGAGGTTGCGCACGTTTCTCCCTGAGCCCATTGCAGCCTATGGGTGCTGGGCCCCAGCCCTCGGGGCCTGACACCAGCCTCCTGTCTCCTGGGGTGGGAGGGGAGCCAGAGGAGCTCTTGGCTGAGGTAGTTACAGGGGTCCTGGGGCCTCCCCACCCGGCCAAGGAGGGGCAGGCTTGGGACCTGGGCAGGGGACTGCTTTTAAACCTTTAAAGGGATGATAAGAGAACATGGACTCCCAGAGGCTTCGGGGCCACCCATGTCGGTCAACAAACGTATTGACGTGTATGGTTGTGTCCCTCATGTCTCAGCTGCTTTCTACCCCCCAGTTGGTGCTCAGGTCTGTCTGTCCCAGGACTGCTGTGTGGCAGGAGTCGGGCTGGGCTGTGGGGGACCTTGGGGCCTCTTGACCTCCACATTCCTGTCTGCTCGGGGTGACAGCCGGTCAGTGTGAGTGGGGGGAGCCCAGGGATCAGGGGAGACCTTCCTGGAGGAGTGGCATCTCAGCTGACATTTGGAGGAAGGGCAGGAATGGAACCTGGGCAGAGGATGCGGCAGGAGCAGGGGCCTGGGAGCTTCTGGAGGTGGTGGGCTGGGCATCTGCGGGCTCACCGTGGGGTCCTGGCGCCCACCATGCGCTCTGCCCATACTCCCTCCTCCTCGCCTTGCTGGCTCCTTATTCTCGGGTCATCGCTTTGCTGTCACCTCCTGGGGCGGCCTTCCGCGAGCTCTCCCTGCTCCCCCCCCTCCCAGCACCCCCCCCCCCCCCCCGGGATGAGAGCTTGTGCAGGCTGGTGCTGGGCCCGTCTCCATCATCTCTAGCCGGCCAGGGGTCTTGGGAAGGCTCAGTGGTGAGTGGGGGCCACAGGAGAGGCGCCGGTTCTTGACCCTGAGGCCCCTCCCTGCCAGCGGTACCTGGTGCCTCAGGCCCGTGCCCTGTGTGGCCTGGACGAGAGCAAGGCCAGGCTGTCGTCAGACGTGCTGACCCTGCTCATCAAGCAGTACTGCCGGGAGAGTGGTGTGCGCAACCTGCAGAAGCAGGTGGAGAAGGTGAGCCCGGGAGGGCGGGGTGGGGGGGCGACCCCGGGACACACCCTGCAGATTCCACCGCAGGGGGACCCCACAGGAGGCCCGTCCACAGAGACAGGAGAGGGTGGGGGCTGGGGAGTTGGTGCTTCATGGCGACAGTCGCCGTGTGGGGAGATGGAAAGTTCTGGAGACGGATGTGAACGCACTTGAAGCCGTGAAGCTGTAAACTTGTAAGTGGTTGAAATGGTCATTTTATGTATTCTACCGCAATGTTAAAAATTAAAAACGCGTGGGGTGAGGGGCGCACGCCCACCCTGCTGCCTTGCCCGCTCCAGGTGTTACGGAAGTCTGCCTACAAGATCGTCAGCGGCGAGGCCGACCTGGTGGAGGTGACGCCCGAGAACCTGCAGGACTTCGTGGGGAAGCCCGTGTTCACCGTGGAGCGCATGTACGACGTGACGCCGCCCGGCGTGGTCATGGGGCTGGCCTGGACCGCCATGGGTGAGCAGCAGCTCCGTCCCAGCTCCCCTCACTGAAGGGGTTCGGGAGACCGGGGGCTCATCAAGGAGGGAGAAGATGGGCCCACAAGGTGGCGCTAGCGCCCCACAAGCCTTACTTGCATTGAGGGGCGTCCCTCTGGCCTGGGGGGCGCTGACACCCAGCAGGGGGCCCTCCTCGTCCGGGTGACCTCGCTCTGCCCCGCAGGGAGGCCGGGCAGCGGGCCGGGGGGGTGCCGTGGGGAGAGGTCCACAAAACCGGCCGGCTCGGAACAGTGCAGTCCCTGCTCATTTGGATGAGACGGAAGGGAATTGGGGTTCGGTGCTGGGAGGCCGCGACCTCGCTGTGTCCACGTGAACCGGCGGCAGTCCCAGTGGCAGCGCTGCACGGTGAAGCAGGGGGGCGGCAGGCCAGCGGGAGCGCGCAGGGGAGACGTGGGTGTCCCCTAGGCGCCCCACTGCGAGGCTCGGGGAGGGGTCCCGGGTTCACAGCCTCTGTGGCTGGTCTGCCAGGAGGCTCGACGCTGTTTGTTGAGACGTCCCCTCGGCGGCCCCGAGACAAGGACAGCAAGGGGGACAAGGATGGAAGCCTGGAGGTGACAGGCCAGCTGGGGGACGTGATGAAGGAAAGTGCTCGCATCGCCTACACCTTCGCCAGGGCCTTCCTGATGCAGCAGGACCCCTCCAATGATTACCTGGTGACCTCCCACATCCACCTGCATGTGCCCGAGGTGAGGCCCCGCCTGCCCGCTCGGGCTCCAGCCCCGGCCCCCTAGCGGAGCCCAGCCCTCATCCAGCCGCCCACCCACCTGCCTCTCCCCACCAGGGCGCGACCCCCAAGGATGGCCCAAGCGCCGGCTGCACCATTGTCACGGCCCTGCTCTCCCTGGCGACGGGCCGGCCGGTGCGGCCAAACCTGGCCATGACGGGCGAGGTGTCCCTCACGGGCAAGATCCTGCCGGTGGGCGGCATCAAGGAGAAGACCATCGCGGTGAGTCTGGACCAGAGCCCCCCCCCCCCCCCCGTGTGGCCCTGTGTCCTCGCACAGCTGGCGTAGGCCTCAGGCAGGCAAGGACGGGTGCCCGCTGCTTACGGACTACGACTTGGGCCCGTGTTGAGCAGTGTCCTGGCCGTCCCTGTCCAGTGGGCCTCTGCCTCTTGGAGCAGAGTTCCCATCTTGGTCGCTCTCCTTCCTCAACCAAGAATCGGGGATGCAGAAAAAGCAGGAGAATGGCCTCCTGGGGGTGCAGCGAGAGGCCTACCTCGACCAGTTGGTCCTGGGCTTCTCCCTCAGTGGTGGGACTCCGGCCCCATCACGCAGCCCTGGATCCCCTGCCTCCTGGAACCTGGCCTTACCTGCAGCCCCATCCCCCCCTTGAACTGCCTACAAGGTGGGGTCCCCAGCCTTGTAGACACTCTACACCTCACTTTCCTCACTTGCAAAGGGGGAGATGAAATAAGGCAGCACGTGCTGTGTCCCTGGATGGTCCCCCAAAGGGCTAGTGAGGCAGCGGCAGGGTGACGTGGGGCCCGGTGGCAGGAGCCCTGGAGGACTGCGGGCAGAGCAGAGGGGGGAGTCTGGAGCTCGCAGGTGCCCCCAGGCTGTACAGTAAGGCTGGGCGTGCTTTAACGCACGGTTTCTGTTAAATTCCCTGGTGCGCTTAGCTGCCCAACCACTCAGCCTAAGGCCCTGGTTACTGTGATGCATCAGAAAACGGGGTCTCTGGGAGACTGGCTCCTGAAGAGAGGCCGGGAATGGGGTTCGGGCTTCAGTTTCCTCAGCTGCGAGATAGGGTGTGCGGGGGAGCCCGGTCCGGGCCGAGCCGTGCTCAGCTGACGTGCCCGCGGGCCCTCCCTCCCAGGCCAAGCGTGCTGGAGTGACGTGCATCGTCCTGCCAGCCGAGAACAAGAAGGACTTCTACGACCTGGCCGCCTTCATCACCGAGGGCCTGGAGGTCCACTTCGTGGAGCACTACCGCGAGATCTTCACCATCGCCTTCCCCGAGGAGCAGCCGGCGGCCCTGGCCGTGGAGCGGTGACGGCAGGCCCGGCTCTGCTGGCACAGACGGGCCGGTTGGGCCAAGGGGGCACCAGGGCCAGGAGCTCTGGGCAGCTGAGCCACCCAGGGGCTCAGCGGAGGCCCAAGTCGAAGGACCTCAGTTACGGCTTAATCACGGAGTCTGGCATATGTGAACTATTTAATTATGATTAAAACCCCTTTCCGGTACCGCCTGGCTGCTTGTTCTGTGCACTCTGCCCCTCACCGGTGCGTCCTGGAGGCGCGCCCCCTCCCGCAGACCAGCACAAGACCCCCAAGTTCCGAAAAGGCTTTATTACATGGCGGGGGGCGGGGGGGGCTCAGTCCTTCTTGGCTGCCGCTTTCCTCATGGCGGCCAGGACGTTGCTCAGCTCCTCTCGCTTCCTCTTGGCGCGGATGTGTGTCCCCACCTGCGGGCAAGGCGGGCGCTCAGTCCGGGCCCCGAGTCCCAGCCCGGCCCCTGCGCGCGACGGGGCACCTACCCTTTTCTTGATGAACTTGAGGGCGCGCTTGTCCTTGGAGACCTTGAGCAGCTCCATGGCCCGCCGCTCGTAGGGGGCGAAGCCGCACACCTCTCGGATCATGTCCCGCACGAACTTGGTGTGCTTGGTGAGGCGCTGGGGGCGCGGGGGGCGTCAGGGCGAGGCGCCCGGGGTCCCGGGCGTCCGCTGCGGCACCGGCGGCGTGCAGCCCCTCCCGCCCGCCTTCCCACGGCAGGACGCCCCCGCTCGGGCCGGGCCCTCCTCCGGCCGGCGGCCTCGCCCCGCGTCCGTTGCCCGCGCGCGCGCTTCCCGGGGTGTCCACCCGCCGCGGGGCGGGCCCCACGCCCCACCCCCTTCACGCTCGACCCTCCCGCCAGCACGGCCCCCGAGCGCCGCGCCCGCACTCACCCCGCGGCGGCGGCTGTGCCTCGGCTTGCTCACGTTCTTAGTCACCTTGTGGCCCTTGTTGAGGCCCACGGCCATAGGGTAGCGCAGAGCCATGGCTGGGGCCGGGAGCGGAGAGGGGAGTGGAGGTGAGTCCGGGCTCGGCCCCCGCCGCCCGGACCCCGCGTCCGACCCCCCCCGGGCTCCCTCCCGGCGCCCAGCCAGAGCCCTGAGCCGCACCGGGGCCGCGGAGTCCGGATGGCAGCAGATGCTACGCTCCCGGCGCCCCACTAACCTGCTGCTCCTCAATGGCTCCCGCGGCGGAAGGGCTGTCGCCCCGCGGAACTCTGGGCTATCTCGCTTCCGCGGGTCGAGCGGGCCAGAGAGGCAGGAACGCCGCGCGCTCCCCCTGGCGGCTGGAGGCCCTGCGGTCTCTATGCGCATGCGCGAGCCGTCTACCTGCGCATGCGCGCTTACGGTAGTGGGTTGAAACTAGCCTCAGCCGGAACTGAAGTGCCTTCCCTTGCCGATGGGTTGAGAGTTGGAATCCTACTTCTGCAGCTTGCTGGCTAATCCCACCTGGGCGCGGGCTTAGGGACCCTGCGCCAGGAACTTCGGCTCCCAGTACTTGAATTTCCTCGTGTATAGAATGAGGAGAATAAGGGACGCCTGGGTGGCTCAGTCGGTTAGGCGTCTGCCTTCTGCTCAGGTCATGATCCCAGGGTCTTGGGATCCAGCCCCGGGTGGGGCTCCTTGCTCCCGAGGAGCCAGCTTCTCCCTCTCCTCCCCGCTCATTCTTTCTCTCTCAAATAAATACATAAATAAAAATCTTTATTAGAATGAGGACAATAATAGTACCTATTCCAAACTGTTCGAGTAAGATGTAATGGTACTTGACACAAAATAAAATTTCCATAAACAGATATTGGCTTCATTCTGTATGACACCAAACTGTGTTAGAACTGAAGAAGGCGATTTGGTATAGTACCCCTGATGGCGTTTGATATAATTTGATGTGATTTTCGGTGGTGCAGGGACTGGAGGCATGATAGAAACAAACAAACAAAATTCTTTTCTGGTTTTTGTCTTTCAATCCTACTTATTCCCAAATGATGGTCCCCATTTTGCGCTAGTCTCTTTGGGGTTAACCCTTCTAACACTTGCTAATTCTAGAGAGCCTTGCACAGCCAACAGTAGCTAGCATTTTGCAATATTGTATTTGTTCTACAGTTTTTAACTGTACAGTTGCTTTTTATTTATGCAAACCACACTAATTTATCATTTTAGGGAGAGGAAGTGTCAATTTTTCACGACCTGATGTAAATAAACATCAGTGATGTGCCGATAAATACAGCCAACACTTTGTTTGAAGTCCCTTGTCAGAATCCCACCTCCTGCCACGGATTTCCTCCCTCTCTGTCCCTCTCTCTCTTTAAGATTTTATTTATTTATTTGAGATAGAGAGCACAAGCAGGGAGGAGGATCAGAGGGAGAGGGAGAAGCAGGCTTCCCACGGAGCGGGGAGCCCGATGCGGGACTCGATCCCATGACCCTGGGATCATGACTTGAGCTGAAGGCAGATGCTTCACCGACTGAGCCAGCCAGGCACCCCTTCCTCCCTCTCTCCAAGCACATTTCCTTATCTATAAAATGTTAACAATTGTAGCACCAACGTCCAATTGTGAAGATGCCATGAGATCACTAATGTCAAGGGCTTAGTGCCTGATACACATTTCCGTCATCGGCACACAAACCACATGCTTTATACTGCAAATGTGGCCTTTGACACACAGTCAGTACCTTTCTTTCCACCCCTGACTTCCCAGGTGAGATCTACGTCTCTCAGCCTCCATTTCTTCACTGTTAAATAGGGTGGAGAAGTCTGGTCATCTCATCCCTGTACACACATCCCTCTTTACCCGCCTGCCACCAGCAAACTGGAAAAACTAAGCAATGTGAACAACCTATGTGCAAGGGAAGAAGGATTTTTATTATGAAACAGAAGGCTGGGTCCAGCCCAGAACACATTCTTTCCCTCCTCCCCGGCCTCAGACCCCATCGGCAGATGGACAGTTAGAAGGCTGTCCCCTGCTTGCGGCCAGGGTAGGGGGACCCTCCAAGGTTGCGTGAGTGGAAAGAAGAGATCAGGGAGGCACTGGCTCCAGGTGGGAGACGGACAGGGTTCCCAGGGTGCCCTGTTTGACATGGCCAGGGGCCTGGGCAAGTCACACCACCTCTCTGAGCCTCAGCTTTCTCATCTACAAAATGGAAGCAGCAACCGTGTCACCTCGCCCGGAGTTGTGACCGTTTCCAGGGGCTGGGAGACTTTCTCGGTTGTCCTTTTCTGTCTTGATGACTCTGTCTTGAGCCACGGCCACCAGCTCAGAGGTGTCTCGGTTTGTGTCGCCGCCGCTCTGGGGCGGCTGGATGGAGGGTTCCCCTCCGGGAAGATGAAGGAGTGCCACGGCCGGGGGCTCAGGCAGCCTCGGCAGCGGTGACGTTGAGCTCCTGGCGGATGAACCAAGCCCTCGGGTGCGGCAGCCATCCCCGGAGCAGGCAGAGCAGGTGGAAGCGCCACGGGTAGAAGACGCCAGGGGCGCGTGTGGCGCCGCCGCGGATCACGGCCAGGGCTGCCTTGGGCCCTGGGGCCGCCTTGGCCCTCGTGACGCCCCTGGGGACAGGAGGGCGCGGTGGAGACTGCAGCTGGGCGGCCCCCCACAGCCCCCTGCCCCTGATGGCCCCGGGCCTCACCTGACTCCCTCGGCAGTCGAGGCGCGATCCCGGAGGCCCAGGACACACATGGTGATGGCCACGTTCACGTCCTGCACGTCCAGCTCCCGCCGCAGAGAGCCGAAGAAGCCGTCCAGCGCGAACTTGGCCGCCGAGTACGGGCTGGAGAAGGATGTGGGCACATGGCCTAGGAGCGCGGGAGGGCAGCAGCTGAGTGACCACACGGCGCTCCCCCTCCTCCAGGGAGCCTTCCTGCCCTCCCCAGGCTCGCCCGCCTCGAGCCCTGTGACCTCCCGACTCCCCGCCCCGCGGGCACGCACCGAGCAGCGAGGACACGACCACCAGAGAGCCTTTGCTGTCCGTCAGGCTGGGCAGCGCCAACGAAGTCAGCTGCACGTAACTCAGGAAGTTCACCTGGAGGTGGCGACTGCGAGTCACCGCATCGCGGAGACACTCAGGCCCCGGGAGGGGCGGGGCCTTGAGGCGTTGGGCGGGGCCTGGGAGGGGCCGGACCTGAGGTGGGGATTGGGGCGGGGGGAGGGTGGAGCCTGGGGATAGGAAGGATGGGGCGCTGGGCGCGGTGGGGCGGGGCACCTGCAGGAGCCAGCGTGTCGCCTGGACGCTCCGGGACCGCGTGCCTGCCGGGGTGCCGAGGTGGTTCAGCACGAGGTAGTCCAGCCCTCCTGGCCCGGAGAGGCCCATCAGCAAGGAGCTAGTCCTTGAGGCTCCGCCCCTGGGCCCGAAGAGGCCCCCCGCCCCTGGCCCCGTCACCTTGAACTAGAGAAGCTCCGGCCAGAGGACTGACCCAGTGAGTTCCGCCCCGGGTGGCTCCCCGCCTAATATCAAAGAGACCGGGCCCTACCCCCTGGATCCTGCCAGGCTTCGTCCCTGATCCAGTAAGGCCCAGTCCAGAGTCCCGCCCCCTGGAGGCAATGGGGCTCCACCCCTAGCCACGCCCCGGACCCATAAACCTCCGCCCACCGACTGCCACGGCCCCACCCCTTTCGGGTCCTGCCGGGTGAGGCTCGGCCCCAGTCCCAGAGTCCAGGCCCCGCCCCTCACCCAGCTTGTCCAGCGCAAACCGCACCACGCGCTCGGGCACCTCAGGGGAGGCCATGTCCGCAGCGATGAAGAAGACCTTGGGAGCGCCCAGCTTCCGGCAGTTCCCTACCACCTGGGGGGGCCAGAGCTGCCCGTGGGCCCGTCCACCCCGGCTGGGCCCCCTCTACCTGCTAGACCATTGGGGCCCCAACCTCAAGCCCCTCCCCGACTCGGAGCTTCAGGTGACAGTCAACATTATTCCCAAAGCTCTGCCACTGGGGTCACAAACCGGCAGCCTGCGGGCCCAAATCGGGCACGTTTTATTTGCTCAATACCAACATTTAAAACTCAGGGGATGTCATATAAATCTCGAGATTTCTGGCCTCTCTAGAAGTTTTGCAAGGTCCGTGCCCAAGAACCGTACATCTCCTTAGAGCCACAATGGGCTGCTGCTGAGCAGTGTCCACCACCCCTCGTCTGAAGTTGAGAACCCTGGCTGCCGGCCAGGCTTTGGACACCACCAATAACCCCAGTTTTGAGGAACACTCCCTGTCTTACACTCACTGTCTTAATGGATCAACCCAACACCGTAACCCAGGAGAAGGTACTTTAATTGTCTCTGGTTTGCAAAAGAGGAAACTAAGGCTCAGACGTTAAGCTACTTGCCCAAGGTCACCCCGGAAGCCTGGATCTTTGCAAGGAAGTTTTTACACCCAGGCCCCGTTTTCCACCCACTCCCGCCCCACGAAATGGGCTGCCTCACCTTCTGTAGGAGGGCCTCGGTGTGGGCCGTGAGCACCAGGTGGGCGCCCAGGCGTGCGTAGAGATAAGCCAGCTCCTCCCCAATGCCCGCGCTGGCCCCGGTCAGCAGCACTCGGGCTCCCTGCAGGCCAGCTAGCAGGGTGCAGGGGTGGTCAATCCTGGGGGGCGGGGCGGTACCGGACAGCTGGCCCGATTCCTCCCTCCTCCACCTCCAAGCACTCACCAGGGTCGAAGTTGTCATCCCAATAGTAGGAGAAGAACAGGGCCCCCAGTCCGGTGAGGAGCAGAACCTTCATGGCCAGCCCTGGGTCTGCAGGTTCTGCAGCGGGAGAGAGGAGGACAGGCACAGGCCTGGCCCACAGCCACCCCCATTTCCACAACTGCGCCTTTGTTTGATGAAGATGCTCCAGGCCCTGCCCTATCTCCCCTCCATCTCGGCAGCCGCTACCTAGTTCAGGTCACTACATAGGTTCCCCTGGCCTCTTCAATGGCTTTCTCCCTCCTCGAAGGAGCCAAATGACATCTTGCCTCCCCCTGCTGAACATCTTCCCCATTTCATTTAGGACAAAAGCCGGCCTCCTTGATGGTCAAAAAGGCCCTGCAGGGACCAGCCCCTCTGGCTCACTCTGCTGTTTGCCACACCCGCCTCTTCACGGTTCCTCAGAATCAGCCAGTCTCCAACCTGCCGCAGGGCCTTTGCATTGGCTGTTGCCTCTGCCCGGAATGCTCTTCCCAAATAGAACCCAAGGAGTTGCTCTCTCACTTCTTTGAAGTCAGCACAAAACTGACCTACTCCAAGGGACATTCCCTGGCCTCCTTTTCTAGAGCGCCTCCTGGTCCCTCTCCTTCCCTTGCCTCCCTCTACAACTGCCATCCTCTCAGCACTTGCCATGACCTGAAATTATCCTGACGATTTGTTACATGTTCACTGGCCCTGTTTCCTCCTAGACTGTCAGCTCCATGAGGCAGGAAGGAAACGGAAACCTGCTGCTGCTTTGTTCACTGTCGGGTCCTCAGGGCCCCAAACAGTGCCAGACATGCAGTAGGACGCTCAACAGATACCAGACTGACCCTGAGTGATATGAAGAACATTGGAGAGAAGAGCTGGGCAGGGGGCGGGGGGGTGGGGCAGAAAGACGGCTCTGTCTGGAGACACCCAGAAGGAATCTTAGGGCTCGGTAGGGGACACAGGGGCCTGTGTCATTAGGGTTAAGATGTGACTTCAGCTGTGGGAGTGGATTTACTTGTTCCAGGGAGAAGGTGAAAGAGAGAAACAGGCCAAGTGCTTAACTGCTTTAAGCGGGGGGCAGGTCATGAATCTTCCCTGAGAAAGGCGCAGGACCATCACATCTTGGGGTTTCTGTCATCTGGACTCAGTAGGACAAAGAGGAGAGGGGGACTTCCAGAGCTGAGAGATGGTGGGGTTGGGGTGCCTTCAGATCTCTAGATCCAGGCCTCAGTCCTTCGTCCCCCACTGCAAAGTTCCAGCTGCCTCTCCCATCCTCCTACTCCCTCCCTCCCACCCTATGCTTTTCCGGCAGCCAGAGGGATCTTCCAAAGAAATCTGATGTTCCCCTTCCTGCTCCAAAGCCTCCTAGGGTTCGCCACTGCCCCCCATGGAGACCAAGCTCCTCACCTCAGCCCACAATGCCCCGCGGGTCTGGCCCACCTGTCCATCCGCATCTTCCACCATTACTGTCTATGAATCTTTCTCAGCTCTCAGAAAGGTGCACTCGCCCTTCCCCAGTCACGGCAGCCATCCCACCTCTCCCCACGTTCCGGGGGAAGCCCCGCGGAGTCCCGCAACTCGACCCTCTTCCCACCTTGACCCCAGCAGCTATGCAGGGCTCTGTGGGGTCGGGCGGATGAACGGCTAGCTGGCCGGCCGTCCGGGTGGATGGATGGATGGTTGGATGGACGGAAGGATGGATGGATGGGTGGATGGATGGATGAAGCAGCCGCCTGCGATGGGGGAGGAACTGGGAGAACCAGACCCTCGCAGAACGTACTGGTCTCCTGACCTCGCCAGGCCTCAGTTTCCCCTCTGGACAAAAAGGGCGTGCGACGTGCTGCGCGCTCCCAACCTCGCACTCACCCACTCGGGCCTTAGTTTCTCCCGCCGTCCAGCGGGGCCGGGGGCCGGGCCTGGGAACCCGCAGCGCGCCCCTCGTACCTCCCTAAGCGGCCGCTTCCGGCCGGGCCCCCGACCGCGCCCCCCTCCCTTAGGGTCCGGGTCACGTGACACCGAGCCCACCTCCTCAGGGGGAGTGGCCTAGCCACGGGAACACCGCTCCCGGGCGTTGCCCGGCAACGGCATTCCGCCGGGCTCGCCCCCTCCCGGCACTAGTCCCGGTCCCGGTCCCGCCCCCTGGACGAAAGCCCCACCCCTGACCAGATCACGTGACACAGGGCCCCGCCCCTTCGCACAATTCCGCCCGTCGCGTTGCCATGACAACCATGCTATTGGCACACTCTTCCTGGTCCTGGGCCCTCAGTCCCCCGCGCGGGCGCGGGTGGATCTCCCGGGCCCCGACATCTTCTTGGGTCACTTCCAGGCCTCACTCTAGACGCGTGACTCCTCTTTTCCCCCCCACGCCACCCGGGCCGTGTCAGGCCGGACTACATTTCCCAGGAGTCTCGGCGGCTAGGCGAGGCGTCCGGCGCCTCACGGGGCGGTGCTGACTCCGTTTCCCAGGCAGCTTTGCGGCGGACGGGCTCTGGAGATTGCGCTTCTCAGAATCCTTTCGCGCGGTCCCTCTCCCGGCGTCTCTGAGCCGTCGCGCGACTTCGACTCCCGCAGGCCTTTGCGACTGACTAGGGCGACTACGCTTCCCAGAGGCCTCTGCGGCGCTATCGCCGGAAGCGGCGGGCGAGTGGAGTGTCCTTGCGCGCGGAGCCGAGCGACCATGGTGCCCCGAGTGTGGTCGCTGATGAGGTGCGTCGGGCTGCCGGGCGGGCCCCGAGCCCCCGAGAAGGTCCCCTCCTGTGGGCACTACCTCTGGTTTGCTTCCAGCTGGATCTCCGAATTCCGTGCCCCCATCGCCCCTATGGGGAAGCTGAGGTTCAGGCGGGGAGGGCCTTCCCGAGATGTCCTGTCGCCTCCTTCCCGCTTCCCAGCGAGCCCTTGCCTCCTGATTGTGTCGGAGTCCCCGCTGCCTCCTCTGGAAGGTGGGAATGCCGCAGGCGCTGTACCAGGAAGTTCATGCGTGCCCAGAGCGACGTATGACACACGGGAAGCGACCAGGGCCACTTGGAAACCCTTCGAGGGTGGCGCGCAGGTCGTGCCTCCCGGGGCTGGAAGGCATAAAGTCAGGGCTCTTACATCTTCACGGTTCCGTGCTCTGTGTGCGGGATCACCAGTGACCCCTCCTCCTCCCCGGGCCTCAGTTTACCAGTCCAGTGGGGCGCAGTGTAGATTGAGCGTTGTGCACAGTAGGCGCCAGGCACGCGTCTGGGCCGCCCGCGTGCCTTGTTCTTCCGTACTGGCTGCCTGGCTTCAGGCGTGTCACTCCTAGGACCGTGGCGCCCGGGAGCCGGCCTCCTCTCCCCGTGTGGGCCTAGAGCCCCGCGCCGGCCAGCAGTGCCCGAGGAGCTGCTGAGCGGCTGTCCTTCCCTGACCGCAGGTTCCTCATCAAGGGCAGTGTGGCCGGGGGTGCCGTCTACCTGGTGTATGACCAGGAGTTGCTGGGGCCAAGCGACAAGAGCCAGGCCGTCCTTCAGAAGGCTGAGGAGGTAGTCCCCCCAGCCATGTACCAGTTCGGCCAGTACGTGTGTGAGCAGACCGGTCTGAAGATGCCCCAGGTACCCTGGGGCTGGGGGTGAGGCCAAGGCTTGGTGGGAGGAGGGTGTCAGTTCCGGGGTGGCTCTTGGTCCCTGGTCCCTCCAGCCCTGCCTGGTATCCTCGGCCCTGGGCTTTGTGCTGCTCTTCCCGGCCTCGGGAAGGGGCTGGGGCTGCTGGCCGGGCCCTTCCCTTTTCACCTGCCCCTTCTCCCCTCTCTTCCCAGCTCCCAGCCCCTCCAAAGTTTAACTTTCACATCCGCGACACCTGGAATTCAGGTAGGCCCTGGTCCCTGTGCTTGGGGGGTGGCCCCGGATACCCCCCAGCCTAGCACCCCCTACCACCGCTTCCTGGTCATTCCTTTCCGTTGCTCCCCTTGCTGCTCCGTGCAGCTCCCACAGACCTAAAAGAGGAAAAGGGGTGGAGATTTCAGGGAGGTGTGAGCAAAGTGGAGCCTCCTTGGAGGATGGGTCACATTGGAGCTCATCGTGTGACCTAGACAAGAGGAGGCCCTGCCCCACTCTGCCTGTTTCCGCGTGTGGAACTGATGCACCTGGAACGGGTGCCTCTAAAAGCCTCGCAGAGCTAGGGTTTCCGGGGGGCTGGTGTTGGTGGACTAAAGCGGGGGGCTGAAGGCGCTGGGCCCTCCCTCTCCACAGGCATCATTACGGTGATGTCGGCCCTGTCGGCGGCCCCCTCCAAGGCCCGCGAGTACTCCAGGGAGGGCTGGGCGTACCTGAAGGAGCGAACCAAGTAGCCTGTCAGAAGAGGCCACCTGCCCCGGTCAGGAACAGGGGCAGGGGCACCATAGACCCTGAGACTCCAGACTGGGACTGGGACCCCACTCCAAGGGCAGCTCCTGGCCTTGCCGGCCCAATAAAGGACTTTGGAAGAAGTGCTCCCCGACCCGTGTGCTGGCCCCAGGGACTTGGGGTGGCCTGGCTGGTGCCCAGAGCGCAGGGGCCTGGGCTTCTGGCACCTAGCAGCTCTTCAGGGCCTGACCTTGCCCCCAGGCCTGGGTTCACGCCTTCGCTCTCCGGGGCCCTGCCTGCTGGGCCCCCAACCTGGTATGGGGATGGGGAGCAGACACTTGGCCCTGGCGCTCCATTGACTGTGCTCAGGGCCCAGGAATGGGTTGAGGAAGTACTGAGGGCCAGCCCAGGTTAGGGATGTCTGCTCGTGGAGGGCTGAGCCAGGGTGGGGCATTCTGGACGTTGGGACTCGGTAGAGTGGGCACAATTCATCAGTTCATCTCTCCACACGGCCAGGAGTTCCTGTGGACACTGAGCCTACATCTGGCTCAGCTCGCTGATCACCTACCTGTCTCGTCTGGTCCTGGCCCTCCCTTGCCTGCTCCCTACCCGCATTCTACCCTCTCCCCACAATCTGGGGATTCCTGGGACCACAGGCTTCATGTCATTACAGTGGGTGGGGGGCTCCCGTACCCAGAGAGGTTCTGCCCTCCCTGCATCCCCTGCTCCCCTGGGAAGGCTTTCCCGCCCCACACTGGGTCAGCTGCCTGGTGACCTGAATGTTCCCCCCGCCCCAACCCCTGGGGGCTGAATCGCCGGGAGGGTGGGCCCTGGGAATACTCCCAGCCCGGAGGGCATCCCACCATGATGGCAGTGGGAGGAAACCTGTTTCGCAGATGACGGCAGGTAGAAGGTGGGCTTGGCTGGGAGCCCAAGACTTGCCTAGGATGTCGCTTCAGGAGCATGGAGAGGCCTGGCCAATGGTGCCCTGAGCTGACACGGGATCCCCCTGTTTCTAAGAGTTCTGGGGGTTATGTTGCTTGGTCTGGGGGACAGAGCTCACCGAGGCCCGTGAACTAGGAGAGGACAGCGGTTACTGGTGAGGAAAGCAGAGACCAGAAGCCAAGACGTTGCCCAGGCTCTCCGGGGATGAGAAGCTCCTGTGTCCACGGGAGCTGTGGGGAGGAGTGTGTGTGGGGGGGATGGGTGGCCTGGTCTGGGGTGTTTGGGGAGGCAGAGCCCCGAGTGTGCCACTCTACTCTCCAGGAAGAGTCTCTGGCTGGGTCTCCCATGTCCAGCGTGGCGCCTGCCCGCTCATGTGCTGGGCCACGGCAAGGAGACGAGCAGGTCCAGGGCAAGGGCAGCGTGGGAACATCCCTGATCCCGGGGGCTGCCTGGGGGGAAGCCAGCCCTGGGTCGGGGCTGAGCCCTGTGACCCACCCCTGGCTGGCACCCTCCACCGAGCCCTTCCCGCAGCCCAGGGAAGGGGGCCGACCGTGGGCTCCGTTTACAGGTGGAGAAGGTTGCACGCAGCCTGGAACCCGGGGAGTTAGCTTCAACCCTCCCCGGGGTGCAGGATTTCCAGGTGCCTCACCCCAGTGGACCCAGTCCTGGGCCCTCGAAGACAGGAGGGTTTGTGCTCAGGGCACACGGGGCTGGGGCTGTGGCATGTGCTCCACAAGGTCCCTGAAGCCTCCGGACCCCACCATCATCACTACCACCATTTTACAGAGACTGAGGCCGACCTGGGCCAGGGGGGCGGGGGGAACCTGCCAGGGCCGCCCTGCCACACTCTGCCAACTCCCGGCAATGCCCACAGGAAGGGACTCCAGCCCTTAGAGGTCAGGAGGGAGCCACGGAAGGAACATGCTCGTGCTCGTGCTCATGCCCATGCGGGCGGCCGAGCCTGCAGCCCCAGCCGCACTGCTCACAAGAGCGACTGCAGCCCCCGCAGGACGCCCGTGTCAGGGGTGGAGGGGGCCGCGAGGTGGGGGCTCCGGAGAAGCAGAGATGGCTGGGGGCGGGTCCGGGGGCGGCTGGGCAGGCAGGCAGGGCTTTGGGAAGGCACAGGTGCGCACAGCGAGGGCCGGCAGAGGGGCACGCAGTTTTAGGGTGAGAGAGGGTGAGGGAACGGGCTGAGCAGGGTGCACCTGTTTGAGAACACAGAGCAGGCAGGGCTGGGCCATCTCACAGAGGCGACACACGTACCCTGGGCCCCCCTGGATAACCTGGATAATTCTCCATCTCCAGGTCCTTAACTGAATCCTGGCTGCAAAGGCCCTTTTGTCGCGTTAGGTGCCATGCGTAGATTTCAGAGATTAGGGTGGGGACACCTCGGGCCCCTTCCGGAGGGGGCTTATTTGGCCCACCGCAGAGTCTGAAGGCTGGGTCACGTGTCTGTCTTCCCCCAGACAGGGCTGGACTCCACCAGCTCGCTTCCACAGACCAAGAGGCAGCAGGCCTCCCCGTCACCCCGACTCCCCTGTATGGGTGGGCCCGGCCTCCCTCCCCAGCACCACGGCCACAGATGCCGGGCCCCAGGAGACCAGAGTCTGGCTGACCTGGGGAGGCAGCATACTGCTGTCAGATCTTAGCCCGCTGGGATGCAGTTCCACTTGGGAGATCCTAGGAGTCAAAGCCACAGACGTGGGGAGTTGATGGGGGGGGCATGGGGGCAGGGAGTGTGAGCACCGGGGACAGTTGGGTTGGGGAAGATGAAAGGTTCTGCGGACGGAGGTCAGGGATGGCTGGCTGCACGGCAGCGTGCAAATACGAACGCCTCCGAGCTGTACGCTTAGAAGTGGTTAGAATGGGAAATTCCATGTTCTGTGTATTTTCCCCGCATTAAAAAAAAGCACAGCGGCCTGCCTGTTCAGCAAGGGCTGGGCGTGTCCTGGACATGGAGGCAGAGCGTGGGGGACAGAACCACCTGAGGTACATCAAAGGGCCCAGGACAAGGAAGAGGGACCAAATGGCCACAATCCCATGAACTCCGGGCCTGAGCTCACGTAGGCCAAGAGGGTGCGCGGTCAGCAAAGGGCTTCTGGAAACCCTAACAGCCCCTTAAAGCTGCCCCTTCCATCTCTCCCTGAAGGAAGAGCCGTGGCTCAGCAACGCCAAGTATAATTAACACGAAGAGGAGAAATAAAGAGAGAAAACGCTTTAAATAAAGGGTATGTGAACAGAAACACATTTATTACAAAAAAACAAAAAAAATCAGAAAAACAAAAAAAAAACACAAAAACATTCACATTGTATTGAGCTACAATATGGCAGCAGATAAAAAAAATTATTGTACACAGTTTAAGATAACTCCTAACAGAACATATTCCTGTAGCCACGTGACAGAACACGGGGATCCAAGCACTTAGTAGCGGCGAGTGAAGCGGGTGTCGTTGGGTCGGCTCCCCCGGTTCTGTCCTCCAAAGCCCCCCTGCATTCCACCGCGGGGGATCACGTGGCCCCGCGAGGCCCCACCGGGGGCAAAGCTGCCGCGCCTACGACCAATACGGATCCCGGGTTACAGAGGCCGGGCCCCTGCGTCGGCCCTGCCGGCACTTTTAAACCTGCTCCCAGGTGAGCCAACATGCAGAGGAGACCGGGAGGAGGACAAGCAGCATGAACACTTACCCTGACATCCCTCCCCGGTTCATCATGTGACCCGGCCCAGAGTGACCAGACATACTTCTTTCGCCACCTACAAAACAAGAAATACAGTTCGAACAGCGCCTCCGAGCGTAGCGCGTGGAGATGAGGACCCCAACACGGGGCTCGTGTGACTCCAGTCCCTTTCCCGAGCCACCCAGTCAACCCAGAACCCGCAGATCCCGGCCAAGGCATCAGCACACGAACCGCACACCTGCTGTCCTAAGTCGAGGCAGAGAGGAGTGAACGTCCTCCGTTCCCCCCCCGCCCACGTCCAGTCAGTGATGAGCAAGACCCCGTGGTCTTGGGGAGAGCAGAGAAAGCGCTTCCTGCCTCAAGAAGCTGCTTGAGCTTTCCAGACGCTTCTCCACAAAGACAGACACGCCCCGGCCGAGAGCCAGGCCTTACCTTGCCACCTCTTGTGGTCCCTGTCTATCATGCCTCCATCAGCAGCACCCTGCCACGCACGGTCATCCTCTATTCTTCGGCCATGGTCCCCCCAGTCACGTCTGCCCCTTGGAAAAAGGTATCTCTGATTTGGATTGCCCCCTTCTCTGCCTTTCACAGTGGGAGGGGTGGTGGGTTCTGGAAGGTGCATTTAGCATTCTGTGTGTCCAGTCCCCATCGCTTTTGGGGTGGGGGTCCGTGGGAAGCGGGACCTGGCTCTCCAGGCTGCTCAGGGCTCTGAGGCGGCCCGAGCAGAGGCCAGTGGCTGGGTCAGGGGGCCGGCCCTCATCTTTCCCTGAGACCGAGGGTCCTCAGTTGGACACATCAATCCTGCCAGAGACGTGTGAGGCCTGCGCAAGCACGGCGGGGTGCAGGACACAAACCTGGGTGGAGGAGGCAGCCCCCGGCCCTCGCTCATCCTCTTGTCGGAGCCGTATCCGCCCCACCCGTCGCGGGAGTCCCGCCCATGTCGCTCTGGTCCTCCGTGGCGTTCGGGGTAATGCTGGATGTTAAAGAACCAGAACAAAAAGAAAGCTTCGGTCTCGAGCCTGGATCCCAAGGCCATTGGGGCAACAAGCTAATAATCACAATGACGAGAGTTCAGAAGTGCTGCTAAGCACTCGACACGTGGTCTTGTGCCACACAGGCCTTTAGCCTGCACGACAGCCACATCCCCGAAGTCCGCCTGGGCACTAGTGAGGACAGTCGAAAAATGGAGTCACAGAATGGAGAAAGAAACTGAGGGCTGAGATCCACCCTAATCCAAGTGGAGAGAACTCAGGCACTAAGGAGACAAGGGCGCTGGGCCTAGTAAACTGCCCTGCGCCAAGAACAGACAATGGTATGCCGGGTGCATGTGCTCCGGCCCCACAGAACCACCAGAACAGAAGGGCCACCAGGGATCCTTTACCACGACTCATCCTGGGCCTGACGCCGCTGGCCAGCCCACCGCCAGCCGCCCTGGGGCCCCGCTTGTGGAAACGGCTTGCCTGGCACAGGCCACACGAATGCCTGACCCCGTTCCGGGCGCCATCTGACGGAAGGATGGAAGAGA